GCAATTCTGTTTACCTATCCACTCACTCTTGTTAGCCATGGTTATTCAACTTTGCTCTTGCTCCCTTTGTATAAGGTTGGAATAGGTTTCTTTATCAAAAGGAAAGTCTTCTAGAAGTTACCTCAATATAATTCCTTTCTGCTGCAATAACAAACTCCAGCTGCATTTCTTACATTTTTGTTTGGTACTAATGGACCCATTTTGGCCACTACCAAAGCAGAATGTGCATGTTTTATCTTCTCGTACCTTTACCTCACCCTTGTGGTTTCTGCTGATTGTTTGAACTTTTATTTCAAGCAGTAATTAATGTGTTGTAATAAATTAATTCTTGGCTTTCTTTCTTCCTTCATTAATGCAGGAAATGCTTTGTAGTTCAAAGGGGTTATGTGTCTGCCAGATTTCACACAACTCATTAAAAAGGAACTTTAAATACTGGAAACAAATCCACCCTCAACTCCAACAACATGGAAGGGAATATGGGAAAGCATAGTGGTTCTACCTGAGTATGAATCTCTCCCTTTTGCACAGGTAAGCTTATTTTTTCCTAACTGACATTCCTGATACTTGACTTTTTCTTTATTTCTAACTTGTGATTTATGTATTAGAACCAGAGGGCTTCAATTCAGAGTGAGGGCTGCTCTGCCCTCAGTTTCATAATTTCTAAAAAAAAAAGAAAGAGAAAAAAGGTATTGTATTTTTTTCTCTCTTCTTCGTTGAAGCAGAAGATGTTTTGTTTTGGTTTTCTCCTTCTTAGAACTGGCAGTCCATAATCTGGTACAGTATCTATCTGTTTAGTGACCACAGTGAACTTCCTTGTATTGTAGTGGTTTGAAAGCCTGGAGGACTTAAAGACATGTCATAATTCATTAATGTAGAGGCTTCATCAACCCACAGTCGTTACTGTTGATCCTTTTAACTTTTGCTACAGTAAAGAATCCTTGTGTGTTTTCCTTCTCGCTTTAATTAGAGCAGACAGAAGACTTCTCTGAGGTTCTGTGTCTGTTGAATTTCACACATTGCTTTATTTGAGTAAACAGACCCCACAAATGTGTATGGAGAAGAAGTCCCAACACACATAAATTGTTGCAGCTCTTTTCTGAAAATATAAACCTCTCTGAGTGTTTTACTGGTAGTGCTTACCATGTAGTTGCACTGGGAGTATATTGCAAAGTGGTTTTAAACTTCTGCTCTAAGTCCTATGTGGAATAACAGAACAGGTAGTGATTGCCTGGCAATGTACACAAAGAAAGGGCAGGTGCTATAGCTACAACATTTGGGGTTCTTGGTGTTGTATTTCCTTCTCTCTGGGGTCTCTTAGAACCTACTGACTGGAGAAGATAAAAGAAGCTTATGTGGAAAACAGCATTTGACTGAGATGTCTAAGGACATCTGGCAAAGAGTCCTGGGTCTGGAAGGTATAGAAATCTTGAATCTGTCCAGATACAGTCAATCAAAAAACATAAGAAACTGGAGAGAGAATTATATCTTAAATATAAATTTAAAACTCATGAATATGAAAAGACATCCATCTTTTCGTCATTGTGTCATTTAGGCAGGAGGTCATTTAGGCAGCAGCAGAAGTAAAAACAGTTAAGAAATAGGGAAGAACTCATGGTAGAGACCTGTGCAAAGTCTGTCTGTGCTGTAGACAGAGAAGTGTTCTCCTGTTCAAGAGGCAGGATTACTGTGTGGTTTTGCTTAAGTGTACTTGTGGGGTAGTACTGGTGAAAACCAGCGAAAATTTATGAGGTATCATTATTCCTCACTTAAATGCTTTATAGACATAACATATAGCCCATTTTTTACTACTAAGGTTGTAGACAGTCTTAATCTGTGCCACAGTCCCTAAAGCCAGAGCTGCTGCCTTATGAGAACGTGGAATTGTACTTGCATTGCACAAAGCACCATGCTGTGGATACCAGGACTGGGGCTACAGCAGCGGCATCAGCTCGACCAGGAACACCTGAGCTAAGGGGGCTGACCCTGTCCCTCACACAACAAGGCAGCTGGAATAGTGTATAGACCTGAAGGTACCCTCACATGGAGCTGGATGCTTCAAAGACATAGCCTAAGAAATGTTAGGGATTACTCTGATTTATGCAATCCCAGAAAAATTATCCTCAAAGAAGAACAGGCTAGTTCCAGAATTACTGTGAAGGCACATTTTTTTATAATACTCCAGAGGAGATACCAAAGGTACTGAGTGGAAATAGTGGTCAATGCCTGCACTGGCTGTACCATTTGGTCCTAGCAATTCTGTCAGGTGCTGTAGCATACATCCAGCTTTCTCAAATTCATTCCAGCCTTCTGCTGCTGTCTCCTTCTCTTTTAACATACTTAGAGAAAGGCATTTTTAGCCATCAGTGTTAAGGAACATGTTCATATTTTGACCCTCTTTATCACTCAGTGAGTAATTCTAAATTAAAACATGACTTTTCTGTTAACGTTTTATGTGGTTTAATTTTAAAGCCTTAAGAGCACTTGATTCCCATACCCCTGCTAAGTGAGCTGTATTTAAATATGTTTCTTGCCCACTGCAGACCGCTATTTGAAACATTTCTCTAGGATATCTGCATTCATGAAAGAATTTATTCCTTTACCTTTCTTCCACACAGAACAAGACTTCAACCACTTCAAGCAAGAGAAACCTGCATGGCTATACCAGATTCCTTCCACATTACCTGCTTGTCACTCTACTTGTTCACCGCTCCCCTCCCTTCACAATTTCCTCCCTTACCCCCTTGTATACTCCCTCCTCATTCCTCTTCCCTCACCCTGTCCATTGCAATGCCCTGTGTTTTGTGATAATGTCAAATATGCCTCTGTCCAGAGCCCAGCTAGGCCACACTGGCTAATGTTGCTGCAGAAGAGTATGTAGTTGAAGTCTTTGTGTCACGCAGAAAAATGCATCCATCCATCCTGCCAATCCATTTCTTTCATGGAAATAATTTCATACCATACTTACTTATTTTAAGGTCTTCCTCTCTACAGCCAGTAAAAGAATAGACCATTTTAAAAAACAGCAGGGTTTAGTTGCCCGTACTCATAATCCATCCATACCTTTCTCGTAGTATTTTTAACCTTGATGCTAAAAAGCTGAAATGAACCTTAATCAGAACATCTGTTTTGTTTTCTAATACATTTAAGAGGTTTTTTAACAGAGAAAATGGACAATTCAGAAAAAAAATTCCTAAATCCTAATTTCCTTTTTTTTAATAACTGTAACTTCAGTTTTCTACTCCCAAAACCGCAGAAGTATTATTGAGATTTTGTAACAGAGTGCTGCTTTAGACTTCAAACCTCAGCAAAAAAGACAGCAAGCCAAAATATGAGCTTGTATGTGCCAGGAAAAAAAGCAAAGCCAAGTAAACCAACAAAAACAACAACCAAAAAAAATAACTACCTGTATTGCACTGCTAGAGAACTGAAGGAGAAACCTCCTCTTATGCTGATACGAGGGATAAACTTGAAGGCTGGATGCAGTTGTTTATGAAAAGGCTCAAACAAGAACTGTAGGACCCAGGGTAGGACCTTTGCAGTTGTGAAATTATGACATTGCTAGTAAAACTCAACCTTGGTTGAGGTGTATGGGGGGAAGAAAAAACACTTTTCCTTTCCACTGGAGCAATATGTGGGTCTAGTTATGACTAGGTCACTTAGATCAGTAATAATTAATTTTCTGTGGGCTATACAGAAATAGCAAGTGGCTACTTTGAAGGTCAGGGAGGGAAGAAGAGTTATTGGGAAAACTGTGAAAATTTCCAAGATATTTGGGATACAGGGGTAAGAAGATATGGTCCTAAACCGTGACTTCAGAGTCTGCAGTGAATGCTGTTAGGTTGAATACCCTCAGGGTACAACCTTTATTGTTTTAGGCAGAACAATAGAAATAGAAAACTTTGCTTAGAAAAGATGGCTTTCCTGCCATGATATATGGAGATGGGGGATAAACCAGATTTTGTTGTGTCATAATATGTCTCAAAAATGTGCCTGAAATACTGAAAAGCACTGAGAATTCAGTGTGATTACAGGAAACAAAAAGTAATATTAAAGTTTCTGAAAGAATCTCTTCTCTTCCTTGTTAGATTCAGTCCTAGACAAGGACTGAAGATAAGACTTTGCAAATGAAATTTGTTTTGAAAGTAAAGTCGTGGGTATGTCTAATCTTCCAGGTATTTTTTTTACCTGACTTTATACATGTGTTCAGTTGATGCCACCATTTTTTAACCTAAACTGTATTTTGAATTACCAATGATGTAATTTCAGAGTGTAGGTATTCTTTTTTGCAGCTCAAACCATCAGAGCCCAGAGGGGGTTTATTCACATACTTGAGGTTTATCCCTCAGTCATAAACCTTGTTATAAACCTTCTAGCTAGGAAGATAGATAGACCTGGGAGAATGAGACAGCCTCTCCCACACCAAGGGGCTGCATGGAATCCAGTACAGGGCTTTCCGTTTCACTGTCTAGTGGTTGATTTCAGTTACTCCTCATCCAAAACTCCCTGAGCTTTTATAAGCAAGCACATTTCTGGTCAAAAATGTTGCATTTCTCTTGCATTAACCCCACGGGATGCAGTGCTAAGTCAGTGCTGTAAAGGTGGTCAGTTACAGCAGTCATCCTCAGAGACAGTGCAACAACCGTATGGGGTATCTGGGATTGGGAAACCTCCTGCTGTACAAGCTGATAACTCCTATCTTGAGCTCTTTAGACTATTGATCTGAGGGATTGATGGAGAGCAGATGAGCCACAGAAAACAATCAGAAGCAAGCTTAGAGTCTCTGAAGGCATTTATTTTGGTTATTATGGATATACATCACTTGCCCCATTGCAAAGCAATGTTTCACAGTGAGATGTTGCTTCCAAAGCTAAGGCCACTTTGCCCTTGAGCATTTCCTAGGAAAAAAAAAAACCTGAAATGAACCCATGCAGTGTCTACAAGGTGGTTTCCTCCAGCATGCTCTCTGGTCCTTTTTGTAGTTGCCTGGCAACCAAGGGAGGGAGGAGGAGGAGGAGGCGGAGAAGAATGTGAGAGCATGGAGGCATCTGATGAAGCAGATTTTCTGTAGCAAGCCGATTGGCCAAATCAGCTCTTGATTCTCTTGAGCTACTCAATTGCAATAGGTCATCTGCATTGGCCCTTTTTAGATGATTGTCTGCCAAAGGTAAGAATCATGGTTCTGCTTTAATTTTATATGAGTTTCACTCTAAAATGAATCCTTCGGCAGTGGCAGAACTGTTCTTCTCCAGACAGAATAAGTCAGGTAAGAAAAGAGATTTGATCAGTGCAGAAAGCTGACCTGTGTTGCGTTAGGTACCCTGTGTGATTGACCAGTGCCTCTTGGCTTAAAGGAAGCCAAAGAAAAGTTCAGCTCAGCTGTCCCTTCTGAACATGATGTTTAGCCTCAGATTTTGTACACAATGTTTTCCCCAATTGTCAAACGGCTAGAAACTCTGGAAGACGATGTAGGTTGTTCTAATTCAAGAAAGGAAAGAAACAAAAACGTGGAAGTTTCCATCTCCAGTTAAATATGTCCAGTGTAGGATTTCTTGTTTGGATGAAAATAATCTTAGAGGCAACAGGGATGTGAGAGAAAGAAGTCAAAGCTCTGTTCTGTGAGTTACAAACTACCGAAATGAATCTTACTTTCTGATGAGCATCTTGGCCATTGCTCATCCATTCAGCTTATGGCCCAGTGTTGCAGGAGTCTCTGTACAGTAGAATAACTTCTGTAGGAGATATAACAATAGTCTCTCTTCTAAATAGCTGATAAATCTTGGTGTCATTACTCTCTGCCCTGGGGAGGACCCAGAGGTGAGTATCCTGTTTGCTTTGTTCAGGTTTGGGCCCTCTATTTCCTGCATCCTAAATCAGTGCCGTAACCATTGGGATATTACCTATGCTGACATGGACTTACGGCAGGTCTCTCTTTTTTCTAACCTTTGGGAGGAGGAAACCTGTCCTATCGATAAACAAGAGCACTATTTTTGCCTTGGAAACTTCCAGAGCCTTGAAACAGTGCTGTGCCAAATATGGCATGGGATCTGGTGAAAAAGTAATGTACTTGTATTTTAAAAGTTTATTGCTATTACATAGGTTGTAATAGCACTCAAGGAGCCTCATGGGAAAAAATGATATTTGCATTTTCTTCTGTTAGAATGGCATAGTGGGATAAAACAAGGCTTCTTAAGGCCTCATATTTCTATTGTGTTTGAGGTAGCTCAAAGTCACTGCAATGAACAAACCAATTATAGAAAAGTGTTACTGAACTGTAGAATCATAGAGTCATTTGGGTTGGAAAAGACCTCTAAGATTGATTTCAAACATTAACCTAACACTGCCAAGTCCACCACTAGAATATATCCCTAAGCACCATATACACATTTCTTGTAAGTACCTCCAGGGAAGGTAATTTGATCACTTTCTTAGGCAGCCTGTTCCAATGCATGACAACTCTTTCAATGAAGAAATTTTTTTTTACTGATATCCAGTCTAAACCTCCCCTACCCCATTTTCTCCTATCACTTGTTACATGTGAGAAGAGACCATACCCCTCCTTGCTACAACCTCCTTTTAAGTAGTGGTAGAGCTATAAGGTCTTCCCTGAGCATTCTTTTCTCCAGGTTAAACAACCCCAGCTCCCTCAGCCACTCCTCGCTTTTACTTACTGAAGTAAGTAAAGAATGCCAGTAGAAAAAATGTTTTTCTTTCCCTGGGTTAGGATATGATAGCTAGAAGTTCTTGAAAAGTTTATTTAAATAAGTCACTATTGTTGAAGAATTAAAAATTATTTTAATTAAGAACATGTTTGGGACACAAAAACATGTTTTCAGTGGGATGGTAATATGCTTTTCATAGAGGCCACCACACACATATGCAGTAGTAGCATTGAGGACTCAGGATAATGCCTCAATCTGACTAGGTAAAATGCAGCTTGTCCCAAATGCAGTCCACTTCAGAAAATAGCATCCCAGACACTTCTAAAGAGCTCATTCCTGTTCTGCTGTGCATTGTTCTATTCTTCATCTCTCTATCACCCTGTTCTTTATTCCTCAGATTCCTCAGACTTATTTCTGTGGAACCTGACCCTTGAATGCCTCTCCTACTGTTACGCCATCTCAGGAGCACGTTTGCCAAACTGACGGCTGTTAAAGAGGGTGTCATAAAATGAAAAACAAAGCTCACTTCAACCTCTTGTCTCTGCCATCTATTGTGGGTCCAAAATAAGCCTACTTGGTTGTGTGCAGCCTAATCTACTCCTGCTGCTACAATGTGATTAGCTAACAAGTGTTTTTTGAAAGGCTCTGGCAAAATTGCGGGGAGGGGGCATGAAAAGAAGTAACCAGTCTCATTTGCAAGTAGATAACAAATTAAAGCCTTGTTTTATGTTCAGTTACAATCAACCTGATGTTTGACACTATTAGCAACCTATAAATATGGTACTCAGGCAGAAGGAGAAAAACTACATCAAAAGATCAACATTTACAACTCAAGGTATTGCAACATTGCCACAACATCCCAAGTAAAGCAGACTGACAATCAATCTTGGGACTTAAAAGATGAACAGGACAACAGATATGAGAGTTTTAGTTATGAGACTACTTATATCTTGAAAATGTATAGCTTTTATTAGCAGAGTTTTTTTCATCATTTCTTGAACTTTTGGATCCCTATCATATACATCCTTTTGCCTTGGCAAGTATCCTACTTGGAATACAACACTCACAACAATACAATCATTTATCTCTCCTTAAGTTTCTCAATTGCTTCTTGTTTTCATTACTAACCACAGTTCCTCTCACTTGGGGATGCAGAGGGAGGGGGAGAAACTTTCACAGTTTATTCCATTTGGCTGGGTGCTTAATTTTCCCTAATTTTGGATATGCTCCCACTTATTGTTCCTACCATCCAAAAGGGTTTTATGCTCTCATTTCAAAGGAGAACACCAAAGCTTCCACTGGCAATAAATTATCTGATAAAAAATAATTATGAGAAAGGAGAGATCTTCTATGAAATCTACAAAACTTTCTGGAATTTTTCCAAGGAAACATTCTTTGTTTTCAGCCAAAAATACCTCAGCTAATGCAATTGAGAACCAAAAGACTTGACTGAGAAATTTCTATTAAAATAGCGATTTTCTTAGAAGGCTTTCAACAGAAAAGATGTTCAGCTAAAAAAAAAAAAAAAATCACACAAAAACCCAGCTCTGATGCAAAATATTCAACAATCCTACCAAGGGTTTGATTCCTACAGAACTGTAGTAGCCTGTCTTCCATTTGCTTGGTTTGTCAGCTACTTCTGACACCACTGATCCCGCCTTTTGTGTTACCATTTTGTTCTCTTATTTGCTTTAATTCATTTCTTGTGGTTGACAGAAGACTTTGCTCAGCTTATTCCAACTTCCAGAGGGTTTCTACCAGCAGTGGCTAGGGCTCTGCTTCCTTCTCTCCCTCTATCCTGTGGAAATTGTCATTCATCTTTACCGTAGCACAGTCAGGATCTACCTCTCTATTCAGTGCCTGCCTATAGTGAAGCCCCTGCCACTTCTTCCACCCTGCCTCATGTGTGTTCATGCACTAGTGCTGCCATCTCTGTGACTGCTCTGTGGACCTCTCAGCTGAGCAACTCTCACCAGAGTGAAATTCACATTAGAGCTGGCAGAGCTGGTTTGGGCCTTCTTTAGCCAAGCTTTACTCCTGATTATTAAAGCCTTTGTTAGGGAGGCTTTGATGCTAGGAATTAACTTGAAAGGGATTTGATAACCAAGGGCCATATTCATGATGTGAAGATCTCCACTGAAGAGCTCTCCCCCCTCCCCAGCATCTTCAGAATTTTGAGCAGATTCTCAAGTTGTCATGGCAACAGCCTAATTTGCTCTCTTTTTGTGGTTTAAGTAAGCATCATGTAAAAGCTCCTCAATAAATGATGCTAAAACATCCTGAGCTTTGGTAGTGACATTGGGCAATTTGCCACACGGCTTAATTTAATTGCTCTGAAGCTATCACCAAGTGCATAATTCAGGGTTTCCTTTAACACAAAAGCTCTTAAAAGTTTAGATGGCTGCAAGGGAAAGAGGAGGAGGAAAAGAGCAGCTGCCATTCTTCAAAAGTGAAGCATCTTCAGAAGCAAGAGGGCAGTTTTGTTCCTTTCTATGGCAAAGAAATATGTAACAAAGACAAAAACTTGGTCAAGGTTCTCACTTTTTCTCCCCTTGAACTTGGTGAGAAAGGCAAAAGCATCCACTGTTCCTGTGCCCTATTCTCCCAGGGAAGGTAGCATGGCTCCATCCTTTATTGGGGCTGAGTTATTTAGAGATTGAGCAATTTAGAAGGTGGCAATCCCTGTGCATTGTCCCAGCTTTCTACCAGTATTTCAATGTGAAGGCAGTACCTAAAGAAAGATATTGCCTTTAGGAAAACTTCTGATCCGTCACCAGTGGTCCGCCTTTGTAGCTTTGCTGGTTCTTGGACTTGACTTCAACCTGGTGTCCCCACTGCCTCTAGAGGCAGATTGAGGCTACTCAGCCCACTAGGCCTGGGAGATGAGAGTTGGTGTAGGAGCTGCTTGAAGGAGTTTGGGCTTTAGTGCAGATTTGAACCTCTCTTCATTACGATAGTAGGTGCATTGGCTCTACTGAGTAAATATTAGCACAGCAGAAGCAGAGGCAAAGGGTGTTCTTGGACTCCAAGGGGCACAGGCTCCTATAAGGGAGGAAGAACAGCAGCTCACCCTGCTTATTTATTTTTTAGTTACAGTGGAATGATACAGTTGTTAGTCAATACTGTGCACACAAACATGTATTAGCAATTGCTCTCAATATTGCTGTGAATGGTCATTTAAAAGATTTGCCTTCTTGGTCTGTTTAGGGCTGGGATGGGTTGTCCCACTGAGCTCCTCCACTTCCAATATTGGTCCCATAACGGTAAAACTCTTCAGGCAAATGAAGTGGCCAGAGGCTTGACTTAGATAGAAGTGACCTTGTTAAGGGAATCTTCAATGCTTTGTAACTCTTAAACAAAGCATCACCTGAGGAAAAAGAGCAGTGTTCATTTTGGGAAAACTACTTCTTAGGAAATATATGTGTGAGTACTTGTCACTACAGGTTTCTGGTCAGAAAAAAAGAAAAGCCAGAACGGTTCAGTCATTTGGTCTGGGGGAAAATTGCTGCTTTGGTGCATTTTTTTGATGTGGGGATTCAAACTCCCACAGCAAGCATGTGAAATCATAGTCCCTGGGCAGTGCATCTATGAACCTTTCTCCTTCAGGAACCATGTGCTTGCATCCTGTGGGTGTCTGAACTGATGGACTGACAGTGCACTTGCTGAACAGAAGATATTGTGAGATACAAGGCAGACTCCCCCTTTTCCTTATGATCTGCTTGTCTCGTCACTCCTTTCTGCAAAACAGTTTCATTCTTTTCTCATAGATCACATTCAGGGAACAGGCAAAGTGTTTGATGTGCTGCAGTATCACTTTGCCTGGAGAGAAATCTCTGCATCCACTGAGATGGTAGTGACCATTCACCAGGGATATACTGTGTTGTGGGATGGGAATGGAAGTACAACAATATAAAGGGAATGCCATGGCTAAGGGGGAGGAGGACAAGAAGGATGGAATGGGAAATACAAGTGGGTAATCTAAGGTCTCCTTTTCAGGAGTGACAGACAGATTCTGGTTTCTTTATCTGCCTCTATTTGATAAAATCCTGACAGTCGGGGTGAAGTCTGTGACACCGGAGCCTGCACACCCTTGTTGTTTTACTAAATTATTCATTCCTGTTCCTGTGATAATATAGTTATAAGGAGGAGCCTAATTGAATTTACTGTCTGGCTTTGGCCAATAGGGCGATAAGGATCCAGCAGAATGGGATGACGGTGAATCCTGCTGGTGTGCTGTGAATGTGAAGCAGGAGGGACTGGCAGCTTGTGTGCAGGAGGGAAAGCGGATCGGTCCAGAGCCCCTGGATTAGCAGAATAAGGAAAGGTAAGGCTGTTTTTGTTTATAGGAAAGCACTCTGCAGGCAATTTTTTCCTGTAAGGTTTGGAGGGAACAGGAATGTGTGTGGCGGCACTTGCTTAGTGTGTGTAGCGTGTGCCTTTGTCTTTATGTGTGCTGCAGGGGTATATAACACTGCATGTTTACTGTGTGTGTCTGTACAGAGATGCCTGGGGTTTATGTGGATCCAGCAGCAATGTATGAAGCCTAAGCAGTATAAATGTAATGAGAGGAGACAAAAGGGAGAAATCACCTCATGAGTAGAAGGGGGAAAACAGTAGTGCTTTCTGGTTTGATTGGAAATGAAGATGACGAGGCTCTTAGTAAGCTGTTTGCAAACAAAACAGAGCAAGTGTGTGTGCATCTGTCTGTGTATGTATAGGATCTGCAGTGAGATGTTAAAATGGGAAAGAGGAGGTCAGACTGGAGCATTAGTCATCACAGGTGGAGATAAATTGCAGGCAATCTGTGTAATCAGATTCTCTAACATGGAGAGTGCAAGTGAGTACGAAAGTGGATTAATCCTATCTGCTGTGCCAGCTACACCTGGAAAGCAAAGGGGGGTGGATGTGGTGGAATTTGGACAGGTTATCTGACTGGTTAGAGAAATCGATGCTCAAACTGTCCTGTGTTCCTGCTGCTAGAGTGATAGTTGTTTCCACAGACTTGCTATTTCCCATTTAATGATGCAAAGAAAAGGTGAGCATCTCTGAGGATAAGGTTAGAGCCCACAAATTAATGTTATCTGGAAGAACAGGACCACATCAAGCAAATTAGCCTCTGCCCTTCCTTTTGGTTCACTGCCTTTGCTCTGATAACAAGTGACTGCTGAACAGACAGGGTAGGTGGGGGAAGATGAATTACAAATGTGGCAAGTGGCATTAAGCCATGTAGACAGGGAATGCTGTTGAAGGGATGATGTTATAATCACACTTCTTCAGCTTACATCTTTCCAAGCCTTTAAGACAGGGCTGTCCCGAAGCGGGTAATCTTAGTGTGGTCATTAACTGGAGCAGGGATCACAGCTCACTATAAGGCATTAACAGCTTTAGCTGCTTGTTATATGTTTTTACCACCTCATTGTTTTCAAGCCAGGATCCAGAGAAAAGTGTTGTTGAGAAAAAGATGTTGCTCACCTGTGGAATGCTGTGATGCTCCTCATCTCTGTTGGAAACTAATTCTTTTGATGAGTGTTGAGGAAGATACACTTTTTCTGTTTGCTCAGAAAGCAATAATCAGAGGGTCCCTCCAAAAAGAGTAGTAAAAAGAAAACCCCACAGGGAGAAGCAACAAAATGGCTTATCTTGGATTAACCAAACCTGTTTGCCAATAAAAGTTCTTCTTCCTCCCTGACATGAAATTTCTTTAATCATAGGTCAACTTTTTTCTACCCAAAGTTCTTTCTTTTCTGTGGTTTTCCTTTGTGGCCTGAAGGTGGGGAGAATGACTACTATTCCCATCAGAGAGCACCTCCATGCTCATGTCTACACTCTGCCCATGAAATCCTCTGAAGTCTCTGGGACGTGCCAATGGGGGTGGCATACTGAGTCTGACCCCCTCTGTCTCACAGCTTGTACACATGCCCCAACTGAGATTGCAGGGACACTCACCTGGTACAGATACAAAAATGCTCCACCTTATAGAGGATATTTGTATTTGGTGATAAAAAAGGGAACATGCTGCAGATTCCTTTAAGATAGATGCAGGCTTTCCTCATGCCGCCTGGAATAACTGACTGAAAAACAGATCTAAGACAAGGCACATACTGTAAGCTAGGGGGGGTTTGTCTCTTGATTTCTCATACCTTTCTAATCCTTCAGGTCCTTTAAGATAGAAAAAACATGATCACAGCTGAGTTCGACTGCAGCTTTCAAAGCACTAAAAGCAACAGAGTGAGCTAAGAAATGAAGCAAAGCAAGTCTGGCTGTCTGAAAATAAACTCCCCAGCACAATAAGCTTCTTTCCCTCTGCCCCAGCAACATAGGAATAGTTAAATAACTTGCTTATTCACACACTCCAAGAGGCTGTAGAGCTCCCAGGTGGCAGAGCAGGAGGTTCTCCCTTCTAAAAAATGGGCAGATACTCAGCACACCTGGAGAGTCCGTCTCTCTGCACAGCAGAGGAAGTCGTTCGCCCTTGCTGGTTTTGGGGTGTGCATCTTCCTTGGGAGATGTACCCAGGGAGTTGGAAGGATAAGCATCCCTCTGACTTTGCAGCAGCAGTAGGCTGGTGTTCGCTTGCAGTGGTTATTGCTGGTTGGGTGACTACATTGTTTGCTTCTGCCCTCAGAGTCAACAGTGAGGCTCAGGAGCGGGCAAAATGCCAGCATATTCCCAGGGAAGGTTACATCATTGCCAATTCACTGGTGCCAGACACTGTGCTGGAAACTTGAGGTCGCTTTTTACCATTAATTGTCCAGATGATTAATTCATGCAATGATATCATTTTCTTGGGTGGAGGTTAGGAGGTTATGTACTCTAGTAATGAGAGGTGCGATGGGATGTAAAATCGTGCTCCTTATTAATGTTAACACTAATTACAACAAACAACAAACTAGCCACTGCATCCTCTGTATCACCCTTCCTCCCCCAGAAAGGGTACAATTTTTTTCTTTTTTTTTTTGGAAGGGGGGATGGTGACGTCATGTGTGAGCAAGTGCTCTTATGGGATTTGAGTGCCCTTAACTTTCATAACTATTCTGTAATAAGGATTTTTGCTTTTGTTATTTTAAAATAATTGTTTTATTTATGTCACTTACATTGCACTTTCCAGCAAGAAAAAACATTTTCATCCCCCCTAAAAAAAAAAAATAAAAGAGGAAGTGAGTTCGTTTTTTATTGCACGGTGGCTGGTATGTTGTACTGTGGTGTTCTCCACTCGAAGGATGCTGTTCTGTCTATACAAGTAGGATCACTTCTCAGTCAATCTGGAAATTCTCCAGTGTCAGGTTTTTCAGTAGATACTCTAGGATATTTAATTCTTTTTTGACATTTTTAGGCTAAAAATCGCATTCCTACCTCTTTAATAGCTAAGCAAATAAGCCTAGGATTCCCAGATGAGCATAACAAAAAGCTGCCCTAGCCCAGATGCAATTAATAGCTGAAAAAGTTGCAGCAACTTGATCTGATAATCTATTGGTAGGTGCAACTGATAACTCCAAATGTCAAACAAACCACCCAGGGCATTTTCAGAGCTGTTGTAAGAGCATTTTCTGTCAAACAATGTCACTTCTTTACCCTCCCCCTCACTCACCCCAGGTTGTTCTTCTCCCCTCAGGCCTCTGTGGTTTTGGCTGGCTTGTGTCCCCAGAGCTGTACAAAGCCCTGGATCATAAGTTTTCAAACAGCCTGGTGAGATGAATTGGAAACCTTCCAGTTTTAGATGTGCCTTTTATTTATGGGATGAAATGGTTTCCTCTCTGTTTAAGCAGTGGGGAAGCCATGCCCTCTCTCCATTCTGGATAATTTTTCACTTCTTCTCATCCTTTGTGTTCTGCTGTGATATTCTCCTACCTCATCTAGAGATTTGAAAATGTCAAGGAGCTTTTTTGAATGCTGACAAATAGCAGAGATTTGATTAGCAATAGTAGCAGATCATTTACCAGTCCAGCACTGCAGACTCATATATATTTATAATACAGATATCAAGGAAAATTAAGTGATTATGTAGAACTAATGAGGTCTGTATTAATGGCTATTGTCTGTTTAATGAGGAATAATCCTACTGTGTCTGGGCAGATCAAATGCTGAAGCAAGGGTGCTGTATGACTTTGATGCCTTTAGCAGATTATACTAGCCACAGGAAAGGGTGCCTAGGGCATGTGCTTGTAATTTAGACCTTGCTCATAAAGGGGAAAAAAATAATGAGATGGCCTTGGAAAAGTAGGAGGAAGGGTCTGTGATGTGGCCTTTCAGTGGAAATGATCTTTTGTCCTGATGGCAGCCCTCCATTGCAAAGGGGTGAATTCTGCATTGCCACCAGAGTGACATGAAGGGCAGAAAAGGATTGTCTCCTTCCCAGGATAGCCTGTGATGGTCTGGCATGGCAGGCAGTGGGAGAAAAAAGTGGATTGGATGGGGTAGGGAAAGACCCCCTTTCTAGGCTTCTTGAAACTGGAAATATTGCCTTCAAAAAACTTCTGAGAGAGTAACTGCAGTAGTTTTTAAAGGCACATTAAATTTTGCTGTAAACTATCAGACTGGGCTATGAACAAGGCAGACAACTGCTGTGCTGTGCCATACTCCAGTCTGAAGAACACCAACAGTGTTATTTTCTTATGCATTGGAAAAAGATGTCAGAGTCCATGTTATAGGGAGGAAAATGGTAGGACTGGAGAGCCTGGTGAAGAGCTGCACAAAGTAAGATAGAGGGGTGTGCCTATTTTTTTGAAGAACAAAGTTTTGGTTTTGCCGAACTTTATGAGGTTTGGCCAATTCATTTCCTGCACTCAGCACGTGCCAGAGCCAGCACTTTTTCCCTGTATATTTCAACTGGGGACCATGGAAAAGCATTGACTTCCTTATTTCGTCTCATACGAAGGAGCAAATACACAAACATACCAACTTCTTTTAAAATATGGCAACCAGTGTCTTCAGCAAGGTCTTCATGGTTTAAAATGGTTATTTGTTGAGCTCCCTTGAATGCAAAATTGTGCTATCCCAAGACCTACATTTTAGTTTACAATTTCATTTTAATTGACAATGGCACAAACACAGAAGGATATAGTTTTTTAACTTGCTGGTTCTAGACCTTGGGAACCACAGAGCCATTCAAGAAAGGATACTGGTAAGTCACTTTTTAGTAAAAGTGATAGCTAAAGCCATTCACATTATTTGGAGTCAAATAAGCAGCTAACTGATTGCCTTCCAAGTGAATGGAGAAAGTCCCACTTGTATGCAACTCAGGACTTCTAGGCTTGGTGGAAAAAACCAGCCAGAAATGTTTACATCATATCTCTTATGAGGCCAATGCAAAATACTTTAAATCTA